ACTTTTCACATGTAATGTTCAGCACTCAATCAGAACTAACCAGTGTGCAAGAAAACCAAGAGAAAAACCAGAGCTAGAAACAGACCCACAGGAGATCCAGATAATAAATTGATCAGACACACATTTTAAATGATCATTAATGTTTGTTCAAAGAATTATGATAATATGGAGAAATTCACACAGAAATGGAAATTCTCAAACTGAAAACAATAAGTGACAGACAGTTGATTTTTGCTAATATTGATTGAGGGCCTGCTCTGTACATTCTAGTATGCTTGTCAGAGAACCGTACATGACGTGCGCCCTTCCTCTAGGAGCTCACTGATTAGTGGGGAAAACAAACGTGTAAAGAAGATGCTGAGAAGGAATAATCAGAAAGCTAGATGAAAAAAGGAGAGTGTGGTTATCATAGAAACAAAGGGAAGTGTGTTTTCAGGCAGAACAGCGAATTTTGTTAAATGCTGCTGCGAAGAAGACAGTGCAGTAAAGATGAAACAAACTCATTGGATTTGGTGAAATCATTAGTCACCCTGGCAGGAGTGATTTTAATGGCGAAGTGGCGCGAGATGGCAGTTGGTGAATGGGAAGTGAGGAAATGAAGATGATATAATAGACAATCTCTTCAGATTTTTGTTTCATTTTTAGAAAAATCTCTCTTCCTGGAAAAGAGAGCAACAAGATGGATGGTAACTAGAAGGAAGGTTTGGGGTCTAAGGAGATTTTTTTTATATGAGAGAGTTTTTTTTTTTCATGTTTAAAATCCAGGGTTTTTTTTATTGCTTTTTTTACATAGTTGTAATAACTGTGAGTGTGCTTATATATAATTATATCTTGCTCTTTTTCTTTTTTTTATTGTTAGTTTCAGGTGTACAGAACAATGCAATAGTTACCCTTTTCACCCTCACAAAGTAACAACCCCCCTCCCTCCCCATGTATTGCCCTCCCACCCCCCGATATCATGCTTATCTATTACAATTCCATTGAATCCGTTTGAGAGTTTTGAACATATTCAAATGCTGATGGAAATAAGAAGGCAGAGAAGAGGCTGACGATGCACTGCCTGGGGAGGGCATGTGTCACTTTCTGGGAGAAGGGAGGGTGTTGACTTGTCCTGTTGGGGAGCAGTGAGGCCTTCATTGACCGTGGAAGGTCGGGCCAAGTTATAGAGGATCTTGGAAAACTATTGGGTTGTTGGAAAAGTCATGACGCATTTTTGCAACGAAAAACAGAAAAAATACGTCATGACTTTTCCGACAATCCAATAAATAGGTGTACAGGCCAAATGCTGGGGACAGTGGGAGCCATTGAAAGCCCTTGAGCTGGGTGAACTAGGTGTTTCCAGGCGTTGATCCTCAGTGATGTTGTGCAGGAGGGAGTGGAGGCAGGGAGAGAGCCACTTGGTAGGCACAGAGTGAGGGGTTCGATCAGGAAATGGAAAGGAAGGGAAGCTGTTATTTCTGAGAAGACAAAGAACAAACCATCAAAGGGAAACACTTGATGTTTTATTGCTGACTAGCGTATTACACTAAAGGGTAGTCAAAGGTGATATCAGATGCATAGACCAAGGGTAGGCAAACTTATCTGTAAGGGCCAGATCATAAATTTTGTCATCATTGCTGGTTACTGCCACTGTGACAGCTACTCAACTCTGCTGAGATAGACAGTATGCATGATTGGTTGTAGCTGGATTTAGCTCACAGGCAGCAGTGTGACCTTCCCTGGGCTCGGGTAATAGCAGTGGGGCTGGTGGGAAGGAGACAGATTGGGGGCATCTTTGAAGGTAGATCCAACAAGATGTGCTGATTGGATGTGGGAGGAGGAAGGAAAAATCAGAGTCATGACATGATCAAGGTTTTAGGTGCTGGGTAAAGGTGAGGCCATTTGCTACTTTGAAGAAGTCTGGGGAAGGAGAAGATTTTGGAGAAGAACCAAATAGCTCTTCTTGAACCCATGAAATCAGAGATACTCAATGGCCCAAGGGAGGTGTCAAGTAGGCAGTGGGCTGTGGTTCTGGAGATCCGAGGGTGGGGTGGAGGCATAAATATAGCAGCCTGCCAGAGGGTAAATGGAATGCAAAGCTGTAGGGCTGGGAGGGGATTCCTTGGGAGTGAGTGTAGACAGGGGCGAGATCGGAGGGGTGCTCCAACATTGAGAGGCGTTGGCAGAGGAGGAAACAGAGCTGGGGGTTATGGGGGCAATGAGAAGGGCATGTGCACCAATGAAAGACCAGATATCCAATAAAGAAGGCCTATGTCAATATAACAATCTGTGTCAAATGCTGCCCAGAGGGACTGAGACTTAGGTAAATTCTTCATTTGGCTGGTGTCATGGGTTCAATTGTGTACCTTAAAAGACAGGTTGCAGCCCTAACTCTTTGCTCCCTAGAATGTGACTATTTGGAAATAGGGTTATTGCAGATGTCATTAGTTAAGATGAGGTCATACTGGAGTAGGGTGGACCCCTAATCCAATGCAACTGGTGCCCTTATAAGAAGAGGGAAATTTGGATACAAACACGCACAGAGGGAAGACGATGTGAAAACACCGGGAGGAGACGGCCGTGTGATGACAGAGGCCTAGATTGGAGTTATGCTGCCATGAGCCAAGAATGTGAGGGGCTACCAGAAACTGGAAGAGGCAAGGAAGGGTCCCCTATCAAAACTTTGAAGG